CCAGGCTGTCTTCCAACGGAATTCTGGGAGGGGGGTCGGCATGCCAACCTTTGGGCTGTAGTCAAGCACTTCATTGCGTCACCCACTTGTTTATTGATGGAAAATTTGTGTTCTTCTTGTTCATCCATTCTGAAGGTTGTAGTCTTTGACCATCATCAAGTGCTTCTTATTGTGTTCATTGTTTGGCAAGCAAGGTGTATCATCTGCATTTCGCGGCTTGTCGAAGTATCCTTATTCTGTTGCTGCTGTTTGGAGCCATCGTGGACCCAATGTATGCAACAGAACAGAAAACACTGCCTTAGTCCTCCGCCATCCTCCTCCATAACTGATCCCGACAACGCCTATATTTCTAATGTAGGCATCGCCTTCAAATCATCACACCTTGGGTTTAAAATCTAACAGCGCTGTGAAATAGTGACGGTTAGTTTTGGAACCTCACTCCAGGCCCCTTACGGGATCCTTCCTCTGCGTTCCACCATGAAGTAGTCAAAGGACACCTGTGATCAAAGTTTTGGCACCTCGATGCTGAAATTTTCTGGGCGGTACCTGAGTTAGGAAGCAGTGGTTGGGTCTTGTATTTATTTCTGGCATCTAACAAAGTTCCTGGGAAATCGCAGATGCTCAAAAAGATGGTATTCAAATTTAATAAACTGTTTCGTTCCATTCGTTCATTAAATACTTAGTGAGTCACATGTGTCCAAGGGACTGTGGGATGGGCAGATACTGAATCAAAAAGAATAATATCCGTAAAACAATACACAGAGCTTAGACCTCGGATCTTCCTCTAGCGCAGACACCTAGGGCACGTGCGCGAGGTGAGCCGGCCTTGCAGATTCCCCGCCCCCTTTCCCGGCCTCATCGATCTGCTCCGTTCCGGCTGCTTTCGTCTGGGCAGGAGAGGGAAAGCGAAGGCGTTTGGGAGAAGCCTTGCCCAGCGGCGATCGATTACTCAGGCCTCAGAAAGATGGCGTCCTCGGAGCAGGCAGAGCCGCCGAGCCAGGTGAGGGGAGCCGGGCTGCCTAGACGTGACGGTGGGCACCCCGGCTGGAGGGGGCGCTCGGCGCACGGCCGGGAGGCAGGTGGAGACTCCGAGCCTCTCCGGCTGGGGGGGCCCGGCCTCTTGTTCTCTCCTGAACCCCGCCCCTCCCCGTCCAGCTCCTCCTCCTGTGACCCCTCTTTCACCACCTTCCCGAGCCCGGATTCGGGGGCTCGGCCGCGTCCGCAGGCCCCCACCGTCAGCCCGCTGGTTTCTCCGGCCCTGCTCGAGCTCGAGGACGGTGGTGGGGCCCGTGGGAAGCTCCCAGCCTTGGTCTGCGAACCCCGCTGCCTGATCCGCGGGGGCGAGGGGCTCTGGGGGTCAGGCTGTGCTCTCCTGGGAGGGGCCCGCCTCCTTCAGAGTCCCGCGCCCCCACAGCCTCAGCCTCCCGCGTGGCCCCGCCGCGCGTCTCTTGGTCTGTGCTCCTTCCGCGCAGTTCGAGGACCGACCGTGAACTTGGACCCGCGCGGAGTTGAGAGGCACGAGATGCGCTGTAAGCAACAGCCACCGCTAAGCCCTGAGCCCAACACCCATCCTCGCTGCCGGGGCTTGGCCTAGCCTTTCACCCACAGACTCTGCTAGCTCCTGCTCCCGTGAGGGGGCCTGGAGGACCCGTGTCCACGCCCGTGCATCTGGCTTGAGAAGCAGTGGCTAGCAAGGCCCCCGGAGGGAGTGTAGTCCAAAGGTGGGGTGGGGTGAGGAGCAGCCTTCCTCGGTCACTCCGTGTAGTGACCTTCGCTCACTGAGTGTGTGTGTGCAGCCGTGCCGAGCAGCCCCCTCCCTGGATGCCCACCCACCACACCCCTTCGCCAGACAGACCAGTAGCCCTCGTTTCGCGGACATGGAATGTAAGGTGGTGTCCTGTGCCCAAAATCACGCCCCGATTGAGCCTGCATGTGAACCCCCGGCTGTATCGGGTCAGCCGGGCCGCTTTAGCTTGAATGAGCGGAAGAAGATTTCAACGTGGCACCGTTTCCCCCTCGTCATTTCGTCACTCCCGTGCAACAGCTTTAAGAATTTCCCGCAGTTTCCTGGTAGAGCAAGGGACCCTGGTGATGCCGTGCGTTAAGCATCGGGCCGCTCGCTAACCCGCAGATCAGCTGCAGACCCCCCAGCTGCTGCGAGGGAGAAAGATGAGGTTGTCTGCTCCCGTTAAGATTTACAGGCTGGGAGACTGTAGGGAGCACTTCTGCTCTTTCCCACGGCGGTGTGCGGCTGTGGGTGCGTGTGTGGGTGGCACTGTGCGTTGGAACGGACTCCACAGAGTTCTGGTACCCAGTCCTTACCGGGCAGGCCGCCACCTGCGAGGGTTTCTTCCCCTCGTCTACACCATGAGTCCTTTCATTACCGGAGCCGCACCTAGAGGGAAGGAGGTCAGGGGCCGCTAAGTGCTCAGCTGTGGACCGACGAGATGGCTGGCAGTTCAAACCCACCATCTGAGCTGTGGGAGAAAGATGAGGCCATCTGCCTTCTCTTTTCCCCCACCCTCCGCCCGGGACAGCTTGATTTCAGACACCGCGGGCCTCTTGGGGGGCAGGCTGGCGCTTCAGCTGCACCCAGGTGCCTTCCACCTCGGCCTCCTCCTGGTCGGGCACCTTCCCGCGCTTCAGGAAGCTGTCCCGGCTCTTCGAGGGCCCTCTGTGCTCCATGCGCACCTTGCTTCTCTGGGCGAGGCTCTGGCCCTGAGCGTGCTTGTTGACCACAATGCCGACGGCGTGCGGGGTCATGTGGACGAGTCCGGTTTTGCCGCGGTAGCATTTGTGCGGCATCCCCTTCTGAACAGAGCCCGCGCCCTGGATGTCCACAACGTCACCTTTCTTGTAGCTACGCATGCGTGTGGCCAGGGGGACGCCGCCGCGCTTCCCGAAGGCCTGGAGAACATGTAGCAGGCGCCCCTCCTCTTTGCCCTGGTGTTCGTCGTTTTGGCAGGTCGCTGCAAGATGGCGGTTCCCGCCGCTTTCGTAACCATTCACCACCTTGGAAAACCTCTGGGCAGTTTTCCTCTGTCCCATAAGGTTGATGTAAGACTTGGCTGGACAGCAGTGGGGGTACTTCTGCACTGAGGATTCAGTGTGTGCCCCAGGCTGGGAAGAAAATACCTGCACTGTGAAGCATGGGACGCAACCGAGGCTGCCTGTTTCACTATCAGAAGTCCTGAGTTAGGGAAGTGTTTGGGGAGAAGGGCCCCTCTTTTTTGCCTTATCCCAGTGTGGGCCTCTGTAGATTGTTAGGGATACCCACAGGTTGCATTGACCTTTAATTTGCCAGTGTTAGGACTGTGACTAAAGCCTTGCTGCTTGGAGCCACAGCAGTGCCCCAGGATTCCTTTGGCAGCTGTCCTCTGTTGCTGTGGAAAAGGATCCGACCCCTTTAAGGGGGCTTGGCCAGCGCTTACTTGGTTTTCAGCTCTGCTTGTCCTTTGCCCTCCTTTCCAAAGCTGGTCGAGGTGGTATTGCACCAGAATATGTCAGCAGCCTGGGGGGAAACCTGAACCCTCCGGAATTCTCCAGTCATTGAAATTCTGACAGTGCCTAACAGTAACCCAAACACACGTTTGTGTGTGTGCAGATTTACATACAACTGAAGTACTCACACCAACTTCCACTTTTAGAATTCAATGGCATTGAGTACACGTTTTTTCCCCCAGTACAGTTTTCTTTTTGTGCCGCCCGTGTCAACCTTTGTCCAGAACATTTCCCCACCGTTCACGTCCACTCAGATCTCCCCACCTCCTCCAAACCAAAGGAAACCGGAAAACCCCATTGCAGTCCAGTGGATTCTGAGTGGATTTCAACTCCTAGCCGCCCTCTCGGACAGCATAGAACTGCCCCGCCCCCAGAGAACCCCAGACCCTCATTCAGTGTCTCTCAAACAAACAAATGTATAGCTTTAAAGTGAACATCTTTTGTTTTATTTTCCAGTCTTGCTCAACCCGGTTCCCCTTTCTCCAGTTTAAGCAGAGGGGGACTGAAAGAGTTGGAAAATTCAACCCCCCAACTGGTTTGTTTGTACAGGAGAAGAGCCAGACCTGTGGAGGCGAGCCAGTGGACTGCCTCAAAGAGAGCTTGTTAGTTGGCCTATGGCATTAATCTCTGGTTTCAAAAGAGTAAGGGTGAATAGGCTCTCCACCCCTGAGAGGCGGTCTAGAGAGCGCAGACTCTAAAGCCAATCTCCCATCCCCCCTGCTTAAAATTCTAGTCCCACTACTTACCAGATGTGATATGTAACTCTGGGTTACTTGACTTCCCGGCCGTAACTTCTTCATCTGTGAAGCTGGGAACAGTTGTGGTGCCTGCTGATGGGGTTGCTTCAAGGACTAAACGAGCAAGTTTATGTAAAGGTGTCCACAACAGTGCTGACACAGAGTATTAGCTGTTCTGTTTAATAATAGTTCCTAGGTGGTGTTGGGGCTTCGAGTGCACCCAGAGGTCCCTTGGAAGAAAGGCCTTGCAGTCTGCTTCCCCAAAACCCAGCCATTGAGACCCTTGTGGTGCACAGTTCAACTCTATCCCGTGAGGTCGCCGTGAGTGGGGGTTGACTGGACACAGCTGGTAACTGGATTCCTGTCCTGGAGACTGGATGCCCACCCGTGATCTCAGCCTGTACTCGAGCCCCACTGTAACATCTTTTAGGGTGTGATTTTTCGTGTATTGACCGCCAAGCCCGCAAAGTTGTCTCATTTGTTCTGCAGTAGTTTTCTTGAAGTGGAATGGAATATCAGGAATGCCCCGCTTTGTCCCATCGGTCCTTTGTGACTCTGCTTTCAGTGGCATACTTACTTCATCCAGTCAGTTCGGACTCCGCGACCCTATAGGACAGCGTAGACCTGCCCATTTGAGTTTCCGAGGCTGTGACTCTCTGGAAAGTCTCTTCTGGTGGGTTCAAACGGCTGACCTTGTGGCTATTACAGCCCAAGGTGGGCTTCACCAGCAGGGCTCCTTTATTTTATCATGGTGGCAAATAAAGTATTATCTGTTTTTGATGGCATTTACTACTTCATATCTTGGTCCTGGTTTTCCCTCATTGCTCTCTTTTTGCATGGCTAATCTCTAATCAAAGTCCCTGTAGTCTGTTAGGGAAATATTCACACTATTTTTATATTTTCCCTCTTGCTTCTCTGCCCTGGTTGAAGAGCAGAGGTATGATTAATCTGGTTAACAGTTTTGATTCCAAACTTTGGGTGTTTTGTTCACACAGAGTGTAAATCTGTCGAGGCAGACTAGCTGTAGTCAATGTTTGATGGAGGTAACAAAGAAGCAGGGAAAGGAGGAGAGGGCAGTGAAGTCGTTATAGAGTGAAAGGGCCTTGGCTGTGTATCCACAGAGATCTTGGTTTGAACCCCAGCATTCACTGATTGGTGCCTTTCTGAGAAGAACTTTTCTCCAGGTTCAGATGTCAGGATTCCCTGGGGGATGGAAACGGTTAAGAGAGCTCAATCACTAGCTGAAAAATAGGGGTTCAAACCCACCCAGAGGTTCCCAGGAAGACAGGTCTGGCAATCTACTTTTGACACCCGTGCAAGCCCTGTGGATCAGTTCTACTGTGTACATCCAGGGTCACCATGAGTCCGAATTGACGGATGACTGCTAACAACGTGAACCAGGAGCAGTATTGATTACCCTATTGACAGAGTCCTATTTGCCAAAAACTTCATTATGGAATGCAGCCAAAATCTTGTCCCGCTACACCACCAGTCCTTAAAGACATAACAAAAACTGACGCAAGGACAAATGACAGAAAGAGCCCTGGTGGTTAAGTGGGTTACACGTTGACTGCAAACCACAAGGTCAGCAGTTTGAAACCACCAGCTGCTCCCAGGGAGAAGGAACGTTTTGTACTCCTAGCTGTGAAGCGTTACATTCTGGGAAGCCCACAGGTGCGGTTCTAATCTGCCCAACAGTGTCGCTGTGAGTCAGAATGGATGTGATGACAGAGTTTTTAGTGTTGTTTTTTTCCAAGGACTA